TAGTAAAAATAAAATAAAAACATAAAGTAATTAGTAAATGTAATTAGAATTGTAAAGAATAAACAGAAGGAAGAAAATCGGTTCAACTTCTCATCGCTTCATCTCCAACTTTTCAGCTTCTCTTTTCGATTCAGATAGAAATCGTTGTTTCGGTGTTTAGCAATCGTTTCAGGTTGAAATCTTTCATTTCATCATTTCATCGTTTCATCTCCAGATTGCAATCGCGTCTCAAAATCATTTCATCGTTTCAGGTTGCAAGGAATCGCTTCAGGTTGCAATCACTTCTCAAAATTGTTTCAGGTTGAAATCTTTTCATCATATTTCTTTTCAAAATCGTGTTTTCGATTCTTCATTTCAATTATTCATTTCAGTTCGTCCGTTAGATACTGATTTCTCCGATTTTGATTTTGTGTTTTGCAATGATCACTTTTTTCTGAATTGCTCTGATGTTCTGCTGTGAATTTGTGAATATAGATTCAGTAGTTAATTAGCCCTAATTCCTAACCTAATCTATTTTTTTTTGTTAATTTTTCTGTAAATTTAGTAGTTAATTATCCCTAATTAAGTACTGCCAAGACTATCACTCAAAGTCATAAAACCATGCACATCTATATAACTTTTGGTATCAAATTTGAATTAACTCGCTTGCAAAATGGTTTGTGTGAAATTGAGTTTTACAATCGGTTTGTGTAAAATGGTATCAAATTTGAATTGAATTGCTTGCATAATTTGTCACAGGTCCACAATCGGTTGCTCCACCATTGTGTTTCTCTTCTTTTAAAGCCAATTTCAAGGTAAAATCATTATATCTCTTTTTTATATCGTAATTTACAACTATAAGCATCATGGGGATTTTGAAATTCATGATTTGGTTAAGCTTAGATTGTGTATAAGGGGTAGTATCGTACCAAGCATCATGATTTGGTTTAGAATGTGTATCGTGCCAAAACCAATACACTCTCACCTACTGTCATGACAGTACCTCCATCCCAAACCAATAGCAAAATCAATCCTCCCGACATGAATCAAAACAACAATAGTCACACTTTAATCACCAGCCCCTAACCACGCTACATATCCAACACGCATTGTTGTAGGTCCCTCATTGGTTCCCTGTTGAGTTCCCACTGAAGACTTAAAGATGCCTCATTAAACAGGAGTTTGCCCTCACTGAATTGGTTCCCTGTTGAGTGCAAACTTAAAGATGCAAGGAAATTAACTCAGTCCAGTTAGAGATCAATGAAGCATAAATTTGACCAGAAAAGGAATTATCTGATAATCCTAGATCTGAAAGTTTGGTCAAATTTGCTAATGAAAAAGGCAAAGAACCTGTTAGATTATTTCGTGCTAAGCTCAAGAAAGTTAGATTTGTGCATAGGCTCAATCGATCTTTAAACTGTTTTCTAAATAGAAAGTTGAAAGCAAACCCTTCTTCCTAAGTTACAATAATCACTGTTATTGCTGCTTCATACTTCATATTCAATCATTGCCTTTAGTAAAGTTGTTTCCTTTCTCACTCATAGCAATTCCAATTTGAATTTCAGCGATGACCCTTTATTTGTTTTTCTATTTTCACTTCCACAAATCTGAATGAAGGGATGCATTTGCTTGATTATGCCTTTTTATTAGTTCTGTCTATTTTCTTGTTTCTAATTTATTTGTTTTTTTGTTTTTGTATAATTAATTAGGTGCCCTTTTATTAGTTTGTGCTCTTACTGATTTCTATTTTATGTATGGACAATGCCTCTGAAAAAAGGTGTTTCTGTGTTGGTGTCTGAAATTGACACTGTCATTTGTGATTAGGTTTAATTTATTTTGTGCATGGTATGATATTAGTTATAAGTTGTTTTGATAGGCATGAGTATTGATCCCTCTTTATCATAGAGCAAGGAACAACCTTTATTGGTTTTCATAAGAATTTATATGGAAGAACAACAATCACACACAAATTAAATAGTGTTGATACTTGATTGCCTTTTTGCATTGAGATGCATTCGATCATGTTAGTTGGCCGACCCAAATTGTAACCTGGTTGAATATTTTTCAATTTAAAATAGTAACGATAAAGATGAGAATCGGACCCGTATTTATGTATTCCTTGTAACTTTGAATTGCTACCATAAGAGGTAATAGGGCTTCTCATTGAATCGTTGTATCTGTTTTCCTGAAAGAAGTAAGGCTCTTATTGCCTGTGCGTGGTGTAGCTTACATTGACCGAACGACGTAGAATTTGGCATTTGATTATAATTCTGTTTATTCTCTTGTTCTGTTATAACACTTTGCTTTTAAACTTCCATGATGCTTTACTGTTGTGTTATGTTGAATATGTTAGATATAGTTAGCTTTGTCAATTATGGATTATGGGCTAGCTATTTGTGATTTTGTTTGATAACCTTTTTGTGTGGAGGTGCATTAAATCACATTACAGTGATGCCTCTGCTAGCATATTCCTTTGCAACAGATTTTTCCAGGCCAATTACTCATGCCTTTTGCCTTATGCAATATTGATTATCCTTCCATGAAAATATACAAGTACCACATTTAGAAAATTAGAATTAGAATTAAACTTGGGTATTTAGAAAAAGGAACTGCTGAGAAAAAAATTCCACTTTAGGAGCAATTAATGACTTGCATGGTCTATAGTTCTCAAGTAAAATTCCTAAAAGAAATCATAGAAAAGAAAGGATAAAAGAATAAATTGCTATCACCTTCTTATTCTTCATCATAATTTTAGCTGTTGCTTGCAAAAAAACTGAACAATCTCATATAAAATTAAAAAGGAAAGGGAAAACTTAAATTTAATACAAACTCATTCATAAAATATTCACCAGTGAGATTTAGATCAATAACCTCCTGCCACTGAGATTTCTTCATTCTCATCAATAAACCATCTTTAGTTATTCCTTAAACCACACAATACTGCTTATGTTTGTATTTAGACCCTTAGTTGGAAGAATTTTCTTACAAAGTGATTTTTCTGTCCAACAACACCCTTCACTATTCTTACAAAGCACTTCTTTCACCACCATTTTTGTAGCTTAATTGTTGGTATTGTTTTTGTTAAATGAAATGTGAAATTAATGGTGTTACTACGTTTTATGTAAACAGAGTATTGAAGAGAGTGGGAATATTTTAAACTCGGTGTTTAGTAATTTAAGATCCTGCTTGCTTCTAACAGGTAAGCTTTCCTTGCTTTGTATTTGCTGTTATTGATATGAAGTTGATATGTCAGTTATGATTTGAGTTGTGTGATACTTTTAAACTATTTATTTTTGTTTAACGCGTTATTTTGTTTAAACTAAATTGAGGAAAAATTATGGGTCCTTTCAAAGAAATTACTAGTACCTCATTGAGTTCTACAGTTAACCCAAAAATGAATAGTTAGCTATATTTAGCTAACTATTTATTCTACTCTTATATTATATGTAGCTTTGGACTAAACATAGAAGTAAATTGAACAAATGAATTCTATTAAATTATGTTTGTTTTTTATGTAGAAAATGGATCGAAGTTGGATGTACGATAGAGTAAATTCCAATTGGTATGGTTTGAAAGATGAATTTGTTAGTGGAGTTGAAGATTTTGTCAATAGACCCATGAATCGGCCAGATTTTTTAAATGATGGAGGGATAATGTATCCTTGTGAAAAATGCGTCTGCATTCCCTTGAAGATGCCTAGTGAGGTTAGACATCACTTGTACAAAAATGGTTTTTTGCCCAACTATTATACATGGACTGATCATGGAGAAGATACTCAGAATGTAGATTTTGATGGTCATTCTAGTAGTGGAAGAAATGATGGTGGGGATAATCAAGGTGATGAAGAACAATTGGATGTAATGAATGAAATAGTATACGATGCTAGGAGGCAATTTGTTAATGTTCCCGATGGGAATGCTAATATGGAAAACGAAACAGTTAGTGAGGGCGAGGTACCAAATGAAGAAGCTCAACGATTTTATGACGTATTAACCTCTACAAACCAACCCATTTATGAGGGAGCTTTTGAATCCATACTATCTATTTCAGTTAAGATGTTGGCTTCCATGTCTAATTAGTATGTTCCTCAAAAGGCCATGGATTTTTTCACTCAAATGCTTATCGATGTTTGTCCAACAAATCAATGCTTACCTGAAAACTATTACCAAGTGAAGAAGTTCGTGTCTAAGTTGAGATTGGAGGTTGAGAAAATTGGTTGTTGTGTGAATGGATTCTTATTATATTATAAAGAAGATAACACTTTAACTCAATGTAGAGTTTGTGAGGCTGCTAGGTATGTTCCTCGAAAGAGTGGAATGGGAAAATACAAAGATGTGGCAGTGAAGAGAATGTTCTATTTTCCAATCATTCCTAGGTTACAACGACTTTATGCTTCAAAGGAATTTGTGGCTCAAATGAGATGGCATCGTGAGACCACAAGCAATCCAAATGATTTGCGTCACCCATCTGATGGAAAGGCATGGAAACACTTTGATGAAGTTTAACACGATTATGCTAGTGACCCAAGAAATGTAAGATTGGGTTTATGTACTGATGGGTTTACACCTTACATTCAAGCCTCTAGTTCTCCTTATTCATGTTGGCCGATAATAGTCACACCATACAATCTCCCTCCCGAAATGTGCATGACAAAACCATACATGTCTTTGACTTATCTTGTACCTGGACCGTACAACCCAAAAGTTAAAATAAATGTCTACTTGCAACCTTTGATTGATGATTTGTTGCGCTTGTGGAGAGATGACATTGTGACATATGCTATCTCTATGAAGCACAATTTTGTAATAAGAGCACTTTTAATATGGACAATCAATGATTTTCCGGTATATGGTATGTTATTTGGATGGGGGACACAAGGTAAATTAGCATGCCCTTATTGTATGGATAGTACAAAGGCTTTCACATTAGGATATGGGGGAAAAATGTTGGTTCGGTTGTCATTGTCGGTTTTTACCAATGGATCATCCGTTTAGAAAAAGTAAAAAGAGATTTAAAAAAACATGATTAAGAAAAAAAGACCACCTTACATGTTTATCGGCCATGATATCTGGGAAGCTGTCCGTGATTTTCCAAAATTCACAGTTAGTGACTGGGCCACCAAATTCCAGGGTATGGAAAATAGCATAAATGGATCAAAATAAGTATATTTTGGGATCTTTCATACGGGAAGGATAACTTGTTAAGGCACAACCTTGATGTGTTGCACATAGAGAAGAATGTATTTGATAATGTGTTTAACACACTCATGAATGATCCTGCAAATACAATGGACAATGAGAAGGAAAGATTGGATTTACCTCTTAAATGTTTACATGGGGATTTAGAGATGCGTCATCTACCTAATGGAAAGATGGCTAAGCCAAAGGCAAAATTTTCATTGACATCCGAAGAGGCAAAGCTAGTTTGTAGATCGATTAAGGAACTAAAAATGCCTGATGGCTATGCCTCAAATCTTTCTAGGTGTGCTGATGTCACCAAAGGTAGGATGAAGGGGATGAAATCCCATGATTGTCATGTATTCATGAAGTGTTTGCTTCCAATTTCTTTTCGTTCCTTTCCTAGTGAGATATCGAAGCCGCTAACCGAGTTAAACCGTTTCTTTAAACACTTGTGTTGTAATACATTAAAATTGGAAGACCTTGTTAGGTTGGAACGGAACGTTCCCATCATTATATGCAAGTTAGAAAGAATTTTTCCACCATGTTTCTTTAACTCGATGGAACATCTTCTAATTCACCTACCTAATGAAGCAATCCTCGGTGGTCCTGTACAATATCGTTGGATGTATCCATTTGAAAGGTAAACAATGTGTAATTTTTGTAGATTACTTTAATGAAATACCATCTTTTAATTGTTTCACTCTTAGATTGATGGGAGACTACAAGCGTTCAGTGAAAAATAAAGCCAGGGTTGAAGGTTCAATATGCACTTCCTACTTGCATCGTGAAACTACTTATTTTTGCTCTCACTATTTTAAGACCGTTAGTTTGTTGCCAAGTACAAGTTTCATAAATGATCCTGGATCATATCATGAAAATGTCCAACCAACACTTTCTATTTTTAGCAAATGCGGTCGTCCTAGTGGAAAGCCTCGGGACTATTGGGTGCTTGATAAGGAATGGGAATCTACTCACATGCATTTCCTAATCAATTGTGATGAGGTTAAACCATACCTCGAGTAAGTACATTTTGTAAAACAATTGCTTTGGTATCAACCATTGTGTATAAATACTTCATAAATTTTATATTTGGTGTCAGATTGTTCATGCAATATCACCGTATCAATGAGGAAGATGCTTCTGGTCTTATACACGAGCAATTTCCTTCATGGCTAAAGGAATATGTAAGTGTACTTCTCACATTGATGTAGTTTTTCAATGTAATCTCTCTAAGGTTATATGTATTTTTTTAGGTGAATGATGAGAGAAATGGAACACCTAGCCCATACGTGAAGGCATTAGCTCTTGGTCCTAATCCTAAGGCAACATCGTGGAACATCTACTTTGTTAATGGGTACAAGTTTCACACTGAAGAATGGAGTCATGGTAAAAAAGACTACTAATTGTAGGGTACATGTGAAAGGAATTACAAATAGAGGAGAAGATGATTTTTATGGTATCATCCAACATATCGTTCAATTGGAATAACATGGCTTTAGCAACAAGATTGCCATATTTTATTGTGCTTGGTTTGATCCAACAAATAATAGTGGCACAAGAGTTAATGAGGAGTATAATATTTTTGACATTAAGATGAATAAACGATATTGTTAATATAACCCATTCATTCTTGCACAAGAAGCAAAACAGGTGTATTATGTCCCATATCTAGATATTTATAGAAACATGCGTGGATGGTATGCTACAATCACCATAAAACCAAGGGGTTATATGGAGATAGATAACACCGAGGATGAAATGCCTTATCAATCTGATGAAATTTCACCAGTTGTGCCAATCACAGAACTTGAACAAATATGTGGTTTAGCCGATGAAGGGTTAATTGATGATGTTGAGCCAGTACTAGTGACAGATGATCCAATGATTCAAGATGGAGAGAACAATGATGTAAATTAGTTGTAGTTTTAGTTTATAATAGGCCATGGTATTAGTACTAGTGAAAAATGATCCCATGTATGTTTTAATTATGTGATTTATCAGTGAAATTGTTCATGTAGTCTGTTTTGTATGATTTGTTTGTTTTGTATTTGATGTTTGAGAATTTATTTTGGAATTGGATATCAATTGAATTATGATATCTTATGGGTCACTAGGCTTATTTGAATCTTATAGTTTATGGTATTTACATGAAATGATGATTCTCCTTTTTAGTTTACACAACTGTATTACCACCCATTTTGATTCATTTTGATTTCTTAGCTGCAAATTCGTGTAGATTTTTGTGGCTCGTGGTTGGTGTAAGTTGAAATGACAGGAGAAGGGTCAACGAAGATAGCACCAATAAACAAGAAACCGTAAGATGACTAAAACTTTCACTATTTAGTTTCTTTACAATTTAATATCTTTTGATGCATTCTTGCTAATGCCAATTGTGTTAAAAAGAGATGTTGATAGGTTATTCCGTACACGGCATATGCCACCTGGGGCTCTAGCTGTAAACACATCTCGCTTGAAGCATGATAAAAGGAACAAAAGCACCACTTATAGCATGCGTCAAAGAACACAAGCTCCTCCACCGCCTCATACCAGCGCAACACCACCACCGCAGCACCACCACCGCCTCATACCACCGCATCACCACCACCGCCTCATACAACTGCAACAACTTCCCAGCCTCTTACAGCCCCAACACCTCAATTGCCTCAGACAATCGAAGCAGCCTCAAAACCTTAGACAACCGACACATCACCGACATTTGAGGAATCCACATTTGTTCCTACCCTTGGAGTGACACATCATGTTTTGCAAGGTCCAGCTATCAATCACACCACGATAGCAGGGGATGAAGAGGAGAGGAACCAAACTGTTTCTGATGAGGAAGAGGAGGCCGAAGAACATGCATTTACTGATGGGCAAAGGCCGATGATTAGCATCGTGGGAAACGGGTAAAAAATTTTGTTACGCACACTTTTTGATACATCAAGCATGGAGTTAAAAATCCTTTTTTGCGGTCCAAATTTGATGTTGTTTAGTGTAAAACACTTAGATAATCTCTGCAACACTTAGATTTTACTGCTTATTCAAGTATGAGAATAGGTCTATAACATTATAAAGGAAATTTGTTGCTGAAGCTATTAGAAAAGTTTTAATAAAACTTTATAAAGGAAATTTCTTGCAATATAGTGAGCTTAAACTTGAGAATAGAAGAGAAGAGAGACATGCATACTTTGATTTGTTTAAAGTAAGACATGTAATTTCCTTTTTACTATAGTATGATGATAATGTAAATTTTTTTACAGTTTAATCAACAATATTTCTCTTTTGGCAGTCTTTTATGCAATGGAAGCCGTATGCTGACGCCAAAATACAAGATTTGTTTCATAAAGCTTGTGGTAAAAGAATATCTGACATATTTGGTAAGATTAGGAAAAAGGGGGAAAAACTGAAATGGATGGGTGAAAAGGTTTATGTGTATCTTCTTGATGGATGGCAATCAGAAGAATTCAAAAAGGTCTCTCAACAAAATAATACTAATCCAGCATCAACCAAAGGGGGGCGGTCCATACCTCGGGACGTAGAGCTCATCATGATGTTGCTATAGAATTGGTGTGTATTCTATTTGTAATTTCAACGCGTCAACATATTTATATCCGATATTCATCGTAACCATATATATGTTGTCTTTATTTATAGGAGAAAAAGTTGAGTCGACCATAAAATTTGGACGAGCTCTTCATTGTCATCCACAAAAAGAAGAATGGGAAATTGGTTGACCGTCATGCAGAGAATACACATGTAAGACCTTTTTTTATGCATTAACTTAATTTCATATTTGTGTCTAGTTTTTTTGAGAACATTTTGACAAGTTTGATAGTGATTAATTAATTTCAAGAACACTGAGTATCTTAAACATGAAAATAAAGAAGAGATTCATAAATTGAATCAGGTTTAATTGCACTATCGTTCAATCTGTATATGAAAGTTTCGATTGAAAATAATCTCAATCTGTATATGACTGTTTTAATTGGTTATTTTTTCCAGTGTTTTCCTCCTAATTCAATCGCAGCTTCATGTTTTATATGTTTGGTTGAAGGGATTATATATTTTCTTCCTCTGTTGGTGTGCCATTAGAGGATAATGATGTCGTGTTCGATTCTGCAGTGATACCAATTAATTTTGACTGAATATGAAAGTTAAAACATGTTTGTGTATTTAGTGAACCAGAAGGAGATTTGTGCTTAAGTCACTTGCTTGAATTTTGCTGGTTTTGAACTTAAGGTTTTTGGTTAATTACCTTTGTTAAGCATTGATGTATGAATTAATTTTTTATTAGGTTTTGTTGCTGGATGAAATGTTAAACTAAATGAAACTGTTATCTGTTGCGACTGGTTTTTTAATCAGAGCCGCCACTATTAGTTTTTATCCTAGGGAAGGGAATCTAACAGAAAACGCTAATTCACAGACAAAGATTCTAGGTTTCAGACTCAATTAGACGAAAGGAAGGTGTTAGGAACCTTTCATCTACCTTGTTCACAAGGATATTAGGCTCTAGGTTTAGGTTTGGGGTAAACAGGATTTAAGTTTTAATTAGAAAGACTCGCCACGATTTTAGATCGTATGCCTACGTATCCTCTTATGAGGAATCAGAGTCCCAATTCGTAGTCCGTATGAGGTTGATGTTTTTTAGGGATTTGCAAACATATTTTGAATCACCTCGCACTCGGTTGGGAGTAGTGATTGCAGAGATTTTGACTGAATGCGCAGTGAGTCAAAATCTATTTGAAACCCTTTTGCAAAAAATAGTTGATTAGTTTAATTGGTTGCGAAAAATAGTTTGAGATTGGTTAGTATTTTTTAAATGTATTAACTGCGAAAATATCTTCCTTAATGCATGAAAAAAAATATTAATGCAATAATAGAAAATAATGTTCATAAAAATAATTCATATATTAATATATAAATAATAATAATATTATTCATACAAGGGTAAGAAATAAGTAATTTTACATAGCAAATGAAATATAATAATAATAAGTGGAAAAATAAAATTTATAATAATAATAAGTTATAAATGATAATAAGAAATTAAGTAATTATAATAATATATAATAATAAAAAATATTAAAATATAATAATTATAAAAAATAGAAAATAAGTGATAATAGAAGAAAAAATGATTTAATTAAGTTATACCTGGGGGGTGCGATTTAGAACTAACAAGCAAATCAGGGAGGTGTCTTTAGGAGGCTGGATTACGTGGGAGAGGGTGTATGGAAAATAAGGTAGGACTTGGCCTGCGGCCGTCCGATCACGATCACGCGGAGGATAACGAGGGAGTATGATAATTATTGTGAGTCAGCGCGCATGGAATTGAACCAGATTACATTTTGTTTTTTATTCATTTACATTGTTTTGTTGTTACAGAAAACTCCACTTATTCATCTTCCTCTCTCTCTCTCTCATACTCACAAACCCTTTCACTCTCTCTCACTTTAACCCTAATTCCTAAACCACCACCGGCAGCGCTCTACCAAAACCCCAACACGAATCCGACCCACAAACCCCCCCCAAATCCCAAAAATAACAACAAATCAACCAAATAAAAATGCTAAGACCAGTTACCCTTTCGCAATTTCGCTTTCTCTTTGCCTTTGAATGTTCTGGATTTAGTATTGATCTATGTTCTCCTTCGCTTTTGCAGGTTGCGGTGGAGCTTGAAGGTGGTGCAGCGGCGGATCAACAGAGATTGTGGTTTCAGATAATGAAACCCCAATCGTCCTTCTCTCGGATCTTCAACAAACAACAAGGTTATTTTCTCTTCGGTGTTCGTCACGCAAGCCCTTCTCCGTTCTTTTATTTTTCGTCTTCTCTGTATCCTCCCTCTTATTTCTCTGTATAAAGTCTTCTCGCCTCCCCCTGTTTTTGTTCTTTCCTATAAAACCCAAGTTCAAAAATAACTTTGACGGTAGCACTAAGGCGGGAAAATTTGGGGTATGAAAGTTGCCCCTATTTAATAACTCTTCGATTGAATGGCGCGAGAATATGTAGGTCTTTGTTCATTCGAATCAGAGATTTATTAAATAATAGAAGACCCCAAAATTTGACCAATGGTTGGCTAGATATGGTTACACTGATATAGCATACCCCCAAGAGTTGGCTAGATAGGGTTACACTGATATAGCATACCCCAAAGAGTTGGCTAGATAGGGTTACATTGATATAGCATACCCCCAAGAGTTTTGAAGAGAATAAGCAAAGATGATGATGTATCACTTTACCAGGATGTGACAACGAGGCAGATGGTTTATGTTATGGGATAAAGAAACACATTGCTGCATGAAGATTGAGACAATGGGTTAGGTTTGCAAATCACTGCATTAAGTATGAGACGATAAGCTAGGCTTGGTTTTCATACATCGCTACATGAAGTCTGAGGCGATGGTTTGTGTTATGGAATAGATAGATGTGCATTGCTGCATGAAGTTTGAGGCAATGAGTTTGGTTCGCAAATCGCTGCGTGAAGTCTGATGCAATAGGCTGGATTTTGTGGAATAAAGAAACACATTGCTGTATGAAGACTAAGGCAATGGTCCAGGTTCGTAAATCACTGCGTGAAGTCTGATGTGATAAGCTAAATGTGTTGTTTCGAACATCATTGCATGAAGTCTGAGATGTTGGTCTGGAACTTAGCATAACGAAACACATTGCTGCATGAAGTCTGAGGCAATGGTTTAGGTTTGTAAATCACTGCCTGAAGTCTGATGTGATAAGCTAAATTTAGTTTCGAACATTGCTGCATGAAGTATGAGTCAATGGGTTGGAATTTGGAACACATTGTTGCATGAAGTCTGAGGCAATGGATTAAGTTTGCAAATCACTGCATGAAGTCTGATGTGATAAGCTAAATTTGTTATTTCGAACATCGCTGCATGAAGCCTGAGGCGATGATCTAGAACTTGGCATAACGAAACACATTGTTGCATGAAGTCTAAGGCAATGGATTAGGTTCGCGAATCGTTGTGTGAAGTCTGAGGCAATAAGCTAGGTTTTGCAAAATCATTGCGGCTTAGAGGCAATGTAATGAGTTCAAATAATACATTGTAGCTTAGAGGCAATGTGTTTGAGTCTGGATAATACATTGCGGCTTAGAAGCAATGTGTTGAGTTTGGATAATACATTGCAACTTAGAAGCAATGTGTTGAGTTTGGATAATACAAGTTGGCTTAGAAGCAACATGTTGAGTTTTGAGGATACATTGCGGCTTAGAGGCAATGTAATGGGTTTTGAGAATATGTTGCGGCTTAGAGGAAACATACTGGGCTTGGATAATACATTGCGGCTTAGAGGCAATGTGTGGAGTTTGAGGATACATTGCAGCTTAGAGGCAATGCACCAAGTTTTGAGAATTCATTGCGGCTTAGCGGCAATGTTCTAAATTTTGCAAATACATTGCGGCTCAGAGGCAATGTAATGAGTTTTGCGGATACATTGTGGCTTGGAGGCAATGTACTCGGTTTGTAAGGAACTCATCACCGCAGGAAGACTTAGGTGATGGGATGAATGTGTCACGACATGAAGACTAAGGTGACGGGTTGAATCATATGAGAAGTGTTGCGTTGGTCAACCCTTAGATAGTTGAATCGAGGGTGAGATTATTTGTCTATTTTCTATGTGATACATGTGTATGCATGCGTATTGAATGTTGTATGTATGTAAAATGTATGATGTTTTGACATTGATATGGAACCCTGAATGTATTGAATATTGAAATGTATAGGGTATGTATGCTTT